GCTATTTGCTCTGCAGCCGCCAGCTGATCTCTGGACAGCAGCTCAACGGCCAACCATAGCCTGTCACTCGCCAGCTGATAAATAACTCGGCTCCTGGAGAGGTGGGGGAGGGGCCGGGCACGCTTGTGCTGGGGGAGGAGCAGGCACCCGGGGATTTGCTGGGTGGCCTTGGCCAAGTCATCAGGACATCGCCAACTCTCAGCTGCAGTTTTAGCAACATCTCTGCTAGCCACCGTATCATTCCCATTTCTCAGAGCAGAAAATTGAGGCGTGCAGAGAGGAAGGGTCTTGCACAGAGGGTCTTGGCTCTACCTCTGTCCACTCCCAGAGCCCTCTCTGTCAAACTGCCTCCCACTGAGCCACCAGATCAGGCTCTGTCTCTTGTGGCTCTGCTCCTGGGGCAGGGCAAAGTGTCCAGCCAAGGTCACTGGGGATCACCAGGACACACAGAAAGCTTCCTTCTGGGGTCTTTGCCAATATAAGCAATATAAGCAACTTCCAGAGCTGAGTCCTGGGTACTGAGAAATGGAGAGAGGAGGCAGGAGTGACGTAGAGAAACTTCAACTCGCTGAACGACAAAGCGAGGTGTCTGGAAGTGATCTTGGAAACTGTGTCCCACCCCTTGTTCCCGGGAAGGCTTAAGGTAAGGTCTGCGCTCCTCTGTCAGAGCACATGGGAGCTGCAGGCCATCTGTTCTGCCACCTGTGCTCTTAGGTAGGCGGGGCTGGGAACTTCCCATCCATTCATTCAACAAACATTTATTCAGTGTCTACCACCTGCTGAGCCCAGGAGGTTTCTGTCACAGAACCTGCAGCCAAGTAAGAGAAGCCAGAGGTGTCCAGAGCCTCGTGAGGGCTCTGCAGGCCACGGTGTTGACACAACCCTACCAGCCTGCCGGAAGCCTGGAGGGGCCTGCAGCAGAGTGGGCTGGGAACGAAGGTATCTCCAGAGGGAAGGGAAGCATTAACATTTACCTAGCACCAGAGTTTCAGAGACTACTGGGCACCCGGCTCAGATCATGGGGGACAGGGAAAGGGACAATATTTCCAGCTGTTTCCTGAGCACCTACTTAATGTCAGTCAATTCACACATCCCACTGAATGCTCGCCTTACGGAGAAGAATTGTTGTGCTCACTGCACAGACAGGAAAGCTGGAGGTCACCAGGAGAACATGGCTTACTCAGAATTGCACATCCAACACCCAGCAGGAGGGTGGGTCAGTCTAACTCCAGAGACAGGAGGACTTAGGGGAGACGGTGTGCCAGGTCAAAGAGCCACCACAGGCAAAGGCACAAAGGGGGTGGCAGAGGGCTGCTGCCAGGAGTCTCAGGAGTGCCCAGCTCTGAAGCATCTGCTCTGTTCTGCACCCCTGTCCAGCTGTGCCAGCACAGTCAAGTCTGCCCAGCCTCGCTCTCACCCTAACTGTCCACTCTCCACCGCAGCCTGAGCCTCTGTGGGCTGTCCACTGCGGGTGTGACAACCCACTGGGGTGAGGGTCTCAGTCCGGAGGTCGTGGAGATCTTAGGCCACTGGTATGGTCATAACTGCTGCCCCATCCCCTCAGATTGCCCTGTCTTCTCAACAGCTCCAGCCTCGGGAAACCTCTGTTGAGAAAAGGTCCGCAGAGACCTTCGGTCTCCTTCACAGACTCTGCACGCTCTGGGAGTGTCCCGGGGTCAGTCAGTTCCTCACACCAGCAAGCACGCTCCCTGAGGTGGACCCAGTGCTCTTGAGCTCTGGCCACCAGGGCAGCCTGGGCAGGTTTGTTGACTATGCTGATGACGAGCTGACAACTGGGATGTCTGTTTCTGATCTCTCTCTCTCTGTCTTTCTCTGTCTGTTCCCCCCGCCCCCAAGCTCTTTCTTTCTGTGTCTCTCTGGTCTCTCTCTGTCTTTCTGTGTCTGTTCCCCCTGCCCCCAAGCTCTTTCTTTCTGTGTCTCTCTGAGCTTCTCTGCCTGTCTCCTCTTCTTCCAGGAAGTCTCCCTCTATTTTCTGGGCCCCTCTGTTGCTCTCTCCTCTCCTGTCCCCTCCACCCATACCCCTTCTTCTTTCCTCTAGCCTCTGGCTGCTCGAGGCACAGGCTGGGTTGGGGTCCTACAGGCTGCCCTTCCTACCTGTGGCCCTGCCCACCCCAGGATCGCCACCTTCCACTTCTACTTTCTAGGCCAACTGACGGGACCCACATGACACAGGATCGATACCCGGAGAAAACATCGCTGGTCAGCTCTGCCGACCTGGCCCCAGCCCTGGCCCTCACTGTGTTCCCAGGGGATGGGGCTCTGGAAACCCTCTCCCAAGTACAGAGTTGGAGTCAAGGTTGGCAGGGCATGAAGGGAGGAACTCCAGATGGAAAGAAGGAATATTCCTGGGGGTCAGGGATGGGACTGAAGAGCCCAAGTGGGACAGAGACAGGGCTGACATGAGTCTCTGCAGATCCTGGTTCAGGTAGGACAGCCCGACATGTCACTAGGAGCTCCAGGACGGGGCCAGAATACCTGGGTCCAGGGCCAGCAGGTGGCATGGTGGTTAAGGGCCCTGGACTCCCACATGGCTGACTGAGGTTCAAGTTCTGGACCTGGCTGCTTACTCTCTCTCTCTCTCTCTCTCTCTCTCTCTCTCTCTCTCTCTCTCTCTCTCTCTCTCTCTCTCTCTCTCTTTCTGTCTCTCTCTGGTCAAATTAAAAAATAAATGAATAAAGTTAAATAAAATAATTCTTAAAAAAAAAAAAAAGAATACCTGGGTCCAGTTCCAGCTTTATGAAGGTTTTCCTGGGGGATCTCAGGAGTCCCTTCCTTTCTCCGAGGTTCAGGCTTCTCTACACAGTGAAAAAGTTGGGTTCATGATCCCACACGTGCCTTCCAATACCAATATTCTAGAACCCTGAGGCAACAGAGTGGGCTAGAGCCATGAGTGGCAGTAGACCAAGGACTGGAGAAGGTAAGGGAAATGCACCCCCGTGGAAAGTGAGGGTGGCGCAGAGCAGAAGTCAGCGGCAGGCTGGTGTCCCGCAGTGTTACTCCTGGCTCCGCCCTCTGCAGCTGCAGCGCCTCTCCCTGCCTGCTCCGGGCAGAAGGCTTGCCCTCTCCACCCTGGGTACCATACTGCCTCCTAGCCTTGGTGGGGAGGAAGGAAACAGATGTGGCAGAACTCACATTAGGGTGGAAGTCGGAGAAGGAGACCTAGCCCCAGATCTGACTCTGAATCACTATGTGACCCTTCTGGGCCTCAGTGTCCCCATTGGCAGCAGCAAATGGCCCCGAAGGCCTCCCAGATGGGAGATGGCGCAAGGTGTGTCAGGGTAAGTGGTGCCCAGCCCCGGTGAGGGAGTGTAACTGCTACAGTGGGAAGGAGTAAGGGGACAAGATGGGCTCCAGGAAATGAGGAGTTCTGGGACCCCCTCACCAAGAGCCAAACCCAACTTATCATCCTGAGAAACCTCACTCTTTTTTTTTTTTAAGAATTATTTATTTAAATTTACTTAATATTATTTTTTTAATTTAAATAATTATTTTATTTAAATTTATTTGTTTATTTTAATTTGACTAGAGAGGGATGGGGGGTGGAGGGAATGTGAGAAAGTAAGCCACCAGGTCTGGGACTCAAACTGTGGTCGGCCATGTGGGAGTCCAGTGCTCTTAACCACCCCACCACCTGCCGGCCCCAATATTATTATTTTTTAAAATTTGACCAGAGAGACACAGAGAGAGTGAGAGAGAAAGTGATAAAGCAAATCACCAGGTCCAGGACTTGAACCCTGGTTGGCCATGTGAGAGTCCAGCACCATGCCACCTGCTGGCCACGAGAAACCTCACTCTAAAGCCACAGAGAAGTCTGGAGAGCCACCTGACCAGCAGCAGAGAAAGGCATAGTTTGGGGGGGTGGGGTTTAGAAGGAATCTCTGTTCTCCTATGCAATGAAAGAGACAGCCACACAAATTCCCAAACGCCTTCCTCTTGCAGTGTGTTAGAACTGGCAGAGCATTAAGTATCATGCTCACTTTAAATACACTCAATATGTAGACTTCTTTAATGTCTGAATACAGAAGGTAAGCAATCTACTGAGAAAACCCAAAGCAGTCTACAGCCATACCACCCTGAACGCACCCGATCTTGTCTGATCTCGGTAGCTAAGCTGGGTGGGACCTGGTTAGTACTTGGATGGATGAAAACCTAAAGCCTAAATTCATGCTTTTCAAGGTACTATGACATGTCCCAGCAGCAGCTCCTTCTGGTAAAGTGAGATATTACAACCCAGCTCTATTAGACAAAGAACCTACGTAACAGGACCTACATATGAGCTAAGTTTGAAAACTGTCAAGTCAGAGCCCCAGAACTGGGTGAAGTATCTATGGCCTGGAAAAATCCAAAGTACAGTTGCCAAAAGAGGGCACATCTGCAGTTTCTAGGAAGTCTTATGGAGAAAGAACTTGTCTACCAACCTTCCAGCAGGAGGGTAATGCTCCCAGCAGACCCAACATGGCTGGTCACTGAAACCTCTGGCCTGCCACTGGGCTGATGGTTTCAGCCCCCCTTCTTCATCTAGGCATTCAATCCAGGTATTTTGGATTTTTTTTTTCATATAAAGGTCTGTTTTTAAGTATGTAGTGTAAGTTGGTGTTAACGACATAACCAAGCCATGTCACATAGCAGTGGTTTTACATCAAGACATATTGTGCCACATCTGTTCACATAATGTGATGAAAAATGGAAAATAAAGGCTCTTTTTACCCCTCGGGGCTGCCCCCACTCATCCACCACCACTCAGACTATTCCAGGCTCCTCTTGTCCAGTCCTGAGGCTGCCCTTTCAGCCGCTGCCCATCCGTGCATCTGGCAGGCAGCGCCCTCTAACCAGGAGTCAACCCCTACGCCACACTGATTTCTGCAGGGGGTTGTATCTGATTCCATCTCCTCAAAGGACTGTGCACTCCTGCCTCTCGGGTCAGTGGGAATAGGCCCTGCCCCCTTGCTGAGAGTATAACAAGCAGGAAGGTCTCTTACCTGTGGGTCAGAGCCCACCAATGACCTGGCACACCTGAGAAGTGCAGGCTGCAGGATTCCTCCCTGTGGGGCTCATGGGCATCTTCTTCTTCTTTCCGGACTCAGAAGAACAGCCTGGGTCAGGACAAACTGTAGGACAAATGATCGCCAAGACAGCTTCAACTGCATAGAGACAGAGAGGGGGAGTGGGTAAGAAGGGATGCAGATGGCCTCCTGAGCCATTTCCCCCTTAGAAGATCCCATCTGCCAGAGCCTCTGGGTACCAGTCATGTGTGCACTTAACTGCATGGACGTTATCCCTTAATAATGACACAGAAAGGCCAGGAACTTCCTGAGCCACACCATGAACTGACACGTGGAAGCACGTGCTGGGAGCAGAGTGAGGAAGACACGTCAGCAGAACTGCAGAGCATGGAGAAGAGTAAGACCATGGTCATCGTGACCAGCTCCAACTCTCGCCACTGCTCTAGCCCAGGTACTGGGGTGGGGCTGAGGGATCGCCTCTGGGGCTGCAGCCCTGGAAGCTCTGGGACCAGCAGGTCAGGAGGAAATAAATCAAAGCATGCTGCAACCAACATTCCTTCAGATCCCCCGGACATCCAGGATGAACAGAGATAAACAACTGAGGCTGGGATGGTTAGGCACAGACCCTTGGGCAAGTTCACTAGAAATGCCCTGTCCCAAACTGGGGTCTCTTCCTAGCACCTCCCCAACTCCAGGGCAACTACTGCTTGGGAACAGAGGATACTAGATACCAGACGAGGCCAAGATGGTAACCCGGGAAGATGAAGTCCGACAGCAGAAGCCCTAGGCCCGGGGCCCGGTTCTGTGGCTGCTGCAGTAAGTGTGAGACCCTGGGCTAGTCAGTTAACAAAGCTGAGGCTCCCCATCTGCCCAGGTTAGACCATCCGTTCATCCTCCTTCACTCATTGCAACAACACAAGAAGCGGTAAAGCAGCAGCGTTTGCACTAAGGATATTCCAGGAAGCGTCTCACTGCACCCTCATTCTTCGTTCACTGTGCTGAGGCACTTTATCCCCACTTTACGGACAGGGAAGCTGAGGCTGAAAAGCAGAGTCAGTCATCTTCCCAGGGTCACACAGCTCTGATATGGTCAAAGCCCCGACCCATGCATGACGCCACCATTCTCTGTCTTGGTGACTGACTTCAGGACAGATGGAAAGTGCCTTCGGGTGGGGATGCGGTGACCAGAGGAGGTGGCGTCTTCAGGACAAGGGGGATTCTGGGAGCAAAGAGCTTTGAAGGCTGGCAAGGGGTTGGGCTCTGCCGCATTGCCCAGCTGGAGGCCAGGTGACCCTCTGGAGGGCCTGGCAAGAGCCAGGAAGACCCCAGGGTCTGCCTGCCACACCCTCACCCCTAGGCACTCAGGCTGGGAGTGAGTGTTGAGAGGTGAAGGGGAACCTGTCGAAGAAGTGTGTGTGCGCGCGCGCGCGCGTGTGTGTGTGTGTGTGTGTGTGTGTGTGTGTGTGTGTGTGTGTGCATGTGCGCACCAATAGACGAGTGAGTGGCATGTAATTACCTAAAATTGTTGGTTAGAAGCGGATGTAAATAACCAAAAAATATGTGAGGAAGTAGGGGGAATGCTCATCAATTAGAGCTAATTACTTAACAGCTAATTCAAATAATAATGGACTGTATTTGAATATGCTAATGAGACTGAACCTGTCTTGGAAAAGGTAATTGAAATAAAAATAGGAGGCTTCCAGGCTGAGACTACAACTCAGGGATCAGGTCCACATCCCTTCCCTACAGACCTCTGCCGCGTGGGTCCCCTGCCCGGAGTCGCCTGTCCCCTGCTGTCCATGCAGCCAATGTCTGCTGCCTTTCCTTGCTCCTGCTCACAGACACCGTCAGCTCCAGGGCTGCCCACGTCTCCTAGGCTCTAAGGATAGGTGCTAGGACACAGGGCATTTGTCCATCAGCGCCAGCACCAGTGCAGCCCCAGGAGAGACAGGAATTCATGCTTGTTGAGTGCTTACTGACTACTAGCCCAGATTTGCAAAGAGTACCCTACCACAGGGGAGACATTGTTCAGAGGACCCTGCGTGGTGCACCCGTGGTCACTGGCTACAGGGTTAGAGGTAGTTTCTGGATTTTCAGCTGCTCCCAGACTTCCCAGCAAAGCTGTCCAGAGGTGGAACAGTGAACTTCCCAAACCCCCACACCTGGTGAGCAGAGGCTGGGCCCCCCACGGGCAGTGCCAGAGTGACCTCTGGGAGGGAGTGCTGTGGGCCTAAGTCAGGGCACTTACACTGGAGTTTTAGACTCTCCATTAGCATCACCCTCAGACTATGAGTGCACATGCACACACATGCACACGCATGCTCACACTCTCCACGAAGGCCCACTTAGCCACACCCAGGCTCAAGCACCCAACAGACCTGCCCCGGCCCACCCTGAGCTTTAACCCAGCTTCCTGCATCTGCTGGCACACGGTCCCACAGAGTTGAACACAAGGCCGGGCACAGAGGCTGCATGTACCTCTGGGGCCTCCACTATATACTCAGTGGACAGCAGAGTACGAACAGTTGGAACACAGTGGACTATACTCTCAGGAAGCAGCCAGTCTGGCGGGTGGCCTCTCTGGGGCTATGCTCTTTACAGGAATAAAGGTGATTAAACAGCTTTAAGATGGTCCTTGTACCGGCTGGTGCTAGAAATCCCTGCGCCTGAAACGACGGACGTGGGCCCTGCTCTGGATCGAGCCCGGCTCAAAGCTGGAGATCTGAAACAGCAGCCCCGGGGCTGCACTGGGAAGGCAGGCTGCATGCCTGGATTTGCATTTCGAGAGAGCTGGAGTGTCTTATGCTGGAGCAGCTTGACAGGAGACTTGCAGGAAGTCACGGGGCTGCTGGGTCTTGAAAAGAGGGTTCCTGTCCTGCCCACGTGGCATGGGGCAGCACCTAAGGGGAATCAGGTTATGCTGGCATCTGGTCACCACTCATTGGTGTGACCTTGACAAGCCCTGGAAGTGCCGTGCCTCAGTTTCTCCCCCATGTAGAATGGGGATAACAGTGGCCATCTCTTGCTGGGGGGTGGGGAGCAGGGTCACACCCAGTCCTGACCAGAACCGCAGACCTGGTAGATTCAGAGCCCGCCTGGGCTAGAGGAATCAAAGCTAACCTGCCATGGAAAATACACATGCAGTTCTATGATAGTTGGGTGTTCATCAGCGGCCCCCCCCCAAGACTATTCAGTCCCTATTTTACATACAGGGAATGCACCTGCACAGGAATTTTTCATATGGCAAACAAGCCTAAATCCATCAACCAAATTGCCATGGGGCCAGATAGCCCTGGGCCCAGACAACAGCCCTAGAAAGCTAGCAGATCCCATTTCCCAGATGTGTAAACTGAGGCTCTGAGAAGCCAACTCACACATCTAGGGTGGGGGTGGTGGCTGGCAGGGATGAGAGGCCTCCCTCTAAGGTGCCCACTGTGCGTACAGTCAGGAAGGCAGACTCTCACCATGACCCTAAGGTGGGCAATGATGCAGGAGTCCTGAAGCAATGCTCAGACTTCGCTCCCCTGACATCCCTGGGGGGTGGGGGGGGTGGGCACCCCCAATCTTCTTCCTCCTTCCAGGATGGGGAACAACTCATCAACTTGCAAATGTCCGGGTGAGAAGGGTGGGAAAAAAGAAAGCTCCAAACTTGACATTTGCATTTCAAACACTTATATCAGCAAAACAAATAACAGTAATTATACCATTTGCATATTTTGTGCAATGATTGTTTGGCGAGGTGGGGAGGAGGGGCGACTGCTGATGCCAGCAGCTCGGCCTGTCGTGCAGCTGTGCCACCCCACCCGCAGTCTCTGCTGCCCAGTGGTCCAATGCCCCAGGCCCGGCTCCCAGGACTCTGAGCTTCCACCCTGCCCACGCTGTAGGTACCCCCTCTCCCCGCTGACCTGCCACCCGCTCCTCCAGGCTCTATCCTTCAACCACTCCCATCCTTTCGGTCTCCACCCCCACAGTCACCCTCCACCCTATCAGGTCCCCATGGCCTTAACACTTGCTGTGTCCCCTGCCTGGGACCTCTCCCAGATCTCCCCTCATTCACAGCCCATCTCCAGTGCCACCTCCACCATTCCAATGCGGACGAGCAGGCTGCCCTCTGCCCAGCCAAGAACTCCACCAGGACTGAGCTGGCCTTGAACTCTGGCACCCAGGACTAATCCTCAGAATGGGCCCACCCAGCCTGCCACTTGGGACACAGTGGCTCCCAGCACCTGGGAACTCAAGTCCCCACCTTCCACTGTGCACTAGACACAGGCTGGGGAGAGGGAGGAGTGCCCAAGCCTTATATTGATCTTGCAGAGGGGGTTTGATGGGGACCCTCCAATTTAGAGGTGCTGGCCAAGGGGGTTTTAGGGGTGAGGGGTTGGGACTGGCCGGCAGCTCTGGGCAGGTGGGTGGACAGGCTGATCTGTGCTCCCTACCTTACCCACCCTAGGATCCTGAGCCAAAGTCCCAGGTGCTGTGGTGGGTGGAGCCTCCCCTACCATTCTAGGGAGGGGTGGAGCCCAGACCTGGGGACCACACCTGCCTCTGGCCCCTCTTCTCCCCCCCAGCCCACTACCACCACCACCTGCCTTCTCTGTACACACAGCACCCGGGGACTCGGCTGAGGTGCACGGAGCCCCCCTCCTGCCCTTGCCAGGCTCCTAACACAATAAAGGCCGGTGTGTGGGGCTGCAAGAACTGGGTGTGCACTCACCCCACACGGAGGGCTTGTTCTGGGCTGGGTGGGCTCCACAGCCTCCTCCAGAGGGCCCCAGGCAGGCCCTGAAGAAGATATAAATGCCCAAGAGAAAGCCATGGGCACTTCTTTAGGAATTTAGAGTTGGGCCACAGGGCAGAGAGGGGCCATGGAGTGCACCGGAGGCCCGGAGGTGGGTGGCAGTCTGCCGGGGAGAAACCTAGACATGGTGGGAACAGGAGATGAACCCAGTCTTCATAGGGCACACTCTGCCCATCAGATGTGTACACTATATGTGTGTGCGTGTGTGTGACTCTGAATATAGCTATGTGTGACTGTGAGTGGCTGTGTGTGTCTCTCCATGGTCTGTGCCCGTGTGTGTGTGTGTGTGTGTGTGTATATGTGTGTATAGAGAGTGTGTGTGTGTGTGTGTGTGTAT